TTAATGTAACTAGCAAGGCTTGTACAACGGTTTACGTGGCTTACCAAGCATGTCTTTCATATCATCAGACTTTTCACACGACAAAATTGTACATTACACCTCTAAATCTACAATCCATAGGAAAAAACAAAACATGTGGTATATTAATGACCAAAGAGAAACAATTGGTATAAAATGATAAATTCAAATATGTAAAAGACAAAATACATGAATCTAAATGTAAAAGTCTACTAGCACCATTATATTTGCTTAAAAACAAAGTCCTCATAAAACCATATAGGAACATAAAACTTAAATTTCATATTTAAGATCATAAAAATTATCTCACTGTGCATCAGTGACAATTTCAAGACATTTCATTTCTCCCCAAAATAAAACAAATTGCTTATTGTAATACCTTTTAACATATAATCTTCATCCAAATATTCACACCAATAAAAAGAGATTATACATCAGTAGCTGATCATTAGTCACTTACAAACATGTCAAAAAATTACTGTGATAGGTCCCACTGCTTACATTTTCCAATGTTATGTATCACAGCTGTCTTATAAAGCTTTACTTCGAACTATAGACTTCTCTCATGATGCCTAATTTTTTTAAAAATTGTAGGATTGTGTTTGAGAACAGGAAATAATGGTTATCATGCTATGGCAGATCTCTGTGAAATTCAGCCATATACAGAAATCACAACTGCTTGACACTATACTATTGTAATACAACTAAGATAATACTATTCATTCTGCTGAATAAGTAAAATATGAAACAGCTGTTTTTTCTTACAAAAATACAAAATTCAGATTACAAAGGTATTGTTCCGTAGCCATTTCCCTGTGAAAATACATGGTAGATACAAAAATACTTTTAACTACAGTGAATGGACATGTCCTTGTTCTAGTTTATCACTATCACCAGAGTAACAATATCAATCTAATAAGACATGTCTCTCTTTTAAGCTTGAGTATTCTTTTCTTTTTTTACAGAACTTTATCTATTCACCTTAACTGTGAGATTGAGTGATGCTTAATGGAAATTCCTTTCTCTCCTTGTCATGTGACCAGACATCTTTCAACACTACTTTTTGTACTTTACTAGGGATGGCAGAAATGATAAATTGTAATACAGTTATATAGAAAATGGGTTAGCTGAGAGGTAAATTTAAGCCTGAGAAAAATGGTAATCTTCTGAGTGGCACCACTTGCAAAAAACCCTGGAGTTTCAGCTGACAGAAACCTCCCTATATTTCATCCAATCTCAAGAAGGGAAACACTGTTGTAATTATAGACTGAAGTACTCCAATTTCAAGTCTCATTTGAGAAAAAATAACAAAAGTAGTGTAAAGCATTAAAACTAACAGTATAAAAGTTTAAAAATACATATGTGATTATAAGCATTCAATGTCAGTTGATCAGAATAAAAAAGAGATGGCAAATCAGTCCCCCTGATCCCAGGGAGAATTGTCAGCTCTTCTTTTCCTGAGACTGAATGCACTACTTTAGTATCTACGTATTCTAACAAAGACACCAAAGTCCATACTATAGGATTATGATCAAAAGTTTGTAAAATGTTAATAAATTACATACAGAGAAACCATATTGCTCTATTGCAAAACAAATTTCTAATTCTTAAATGCACAAAAAGGAATTATGTAGATAAAATAAAGAACAGATGAGGATTTGAGGTTAAGTGTATTAATACCTGAGAGAATGAACAACATAAGTACACTCACTAAAACAACAACTTACTTCAAAGCTCAAAACAGATGAAGTTCCATATTGTTTGATTAGAGCTTTGGAATTGATAGGGTTATAGTCTCACATTATGCTAATATTAGTAATGGAGACCTCATAGACTCATTTGTAATGCCATAATGATTATCATAAGCTAATGAAAACCATTTGTTACTCAATGGCAACCCCCCTTCTGGCTGACTGGGTTTGAGAAGGGGGCATGGCCAATAGTTAGTTGCTACGTTCCCAAGCTATGAGTCATTTTCTTCTTAGTTATTTATTTTTGTTATTTTTCAAACAAGCCATAACTACTGCAAGGGATGTGGCCCCTTCAGTTCTGCCAGCAACAACCAGCAGAAATTTGCACTAAGTTTCAGCATGCAGACTGTCAGAAACCATTGGGCTGCTTGAGTTGATGCACAGATTTACAGGGGTCTGCCTACATGGAAATCTTAGACACGGTGTTTTTACCATCAGTGTGGGCCAGGCCATGCTATTCCTTAAGCCAGAGCTATTTGACCTTGTCTAGAATAACAGCCCTATCCATGCAAGCAGTGTCGTGAAGGTGTGATTTTGCGAACACCTCGAGATAATACTGTGCCACATTCACCCAAATCGTAATACCTCAATCCTACTAAGAATGCCTGAGCAGACTTCAACCAAGATTATACCCACAATTGCCATATTGTCATGGCCCAAGCAATTATGGCATGGGAGCAATTGCACTCTGCAGACAGATGCCAGTTATAGATGGCTTTAGTGACATCCATAACACAGTGAATTGCCAGCATTAGTGAAACTGGTGGCAGTAACACAAAATATCAACAGTATTAAGCATTTCAAAACCTATAATATTTTCTCTTCAGTTTGCTCATATTATCAGACAACATTGGCACCACCATGGAATTAATTTAAGACTTAGGTTACTTGGATTATATATAATATCATGTGATCAGCAGGGGCATCATTTCAGCTTTTTCTTGTGCGGGAGGCAAAAGAGTGAGTAGGCACTTTAGAAAAGTGAGCTATTTTAGGGACACTTTTAAGATATAACAATGTCTGTACAAAGTGATTTTGTAAAAAAGTTAAAAATTGTGAACCAGGGAGGGGGGGAGCCAGACCTTTGAATGGCAATTACCCCCATTCGTAATTTTTTCCCTTACCGTGTAACTTAAATAACTAAATCTACACTTACATCACCCAAACAGTACAAACTAACAGTAGTTATGTTTGTGACTCTTGTGCATGTGATACCTGTTACAAAAATATTCAACACATTATGAACACATATGGTTGGCTGCATATCCAAATATTGAGGAATTGCCTTTTATGCCTTACAAAGAGTGGTGGCATAAAATATATGTGATTTTTCCTTGTGACAAATATATGTGGTTTGAATTTACTGGTATGAGCATTCACTTCCGGCAAATAATTATATGTGTAGTTTACTTAATTCTATCAAATAAATCAATATCAATAAAGATATGAAAAACAGGCTATTATGAATACCCTTAAAAATCTTTCTATTAAGAATAACAAAACAAATACAAATATAAAAGGTGAGTAGTTAAGCTTATCAATAATACTAATCTGAGTATCTGAATTCAAAATGCTGTTAAAGCTGAGCCCTTACGGGGTAGGAAAATGAGAAGTCAGTAAATACTAGCAACAACAGAATCAATAATCTGTAAACCAATTTCTGCAAATTTTCTTTTTAAAAATTAATGAAGAAAAAAATCTAAAATGAAATAAAATCATACCGAACAGAAAAGCTAACAAAGTGGATGTTTTGTTTCTCCTGGTTATTTCTTATGCATTTCTTTGTGCAACACCTCCACAAATTATTCCCCTTTACCTATCCCCCCGGTACCCCTTCATCTCCCTTAGTTAACGAAAAAAAGACCTGGTACCTCTCTTGATGAGTGAATGAATGCGGTAAGTGTCAAAAGAGAATGGACACCCCCACATACACCTCCATGCCCCTGTACCCTCTGGGCATTACTCCTGCTTCCTTTTTATATGAATAAACATACATACATAGTATGTATAATATAAGAATTCTAGTAATATATGGCATGAACATGTATAAATCTGAGCTCTAAGACCAACAAAGATGAAAACTATCCCTGGTGCTTACACGGCTGGTCAGCAATACATGCACTAAGGAATCATGGTCTTTACATGTGTTGCCAACATTTTACCCTCATTTACAGTCCTGTGCAGACATAGAGCACATATGGTATTACTGCTGAGCCAAGATGTTTCCCTTCAAACCATGTCATGTATGAACTATGAACATAAATGTGTTTCTTTGTACATATAAGTTGATGATTAATAGTTTCTTGCATGTGAGTAGCCATCATGTTGTGCTAGCACTCAAGGATTATTAGGTAAACAATACAAACTTATGTAAAACTTTTTCAAAAGAGGGTTCATAAGTAAATCAAGTTATTACTTAGTTTATAACACAAAATTCAAAATATTAACCCCTTAAATATGGACACAGCTATAGCCTTCACAATTTAATGGCTTATAATGTGTATACATGTCATGACTTATAATTGGTGGGATAGCTGTACACAGCTTACACCTAGCTAAAGTCTAGATTTTTGCATATTACACCACAAAAAATTCATGTCCCATAATGATAGGGTTGTCCAATATAATTTCAGTATAGTAAAAATAAACGAACACACACACACACATATCCATAATCTTATAAATTTAACAACTGCCCAAATATCTGACATTAAAGTAACAAATTTTGTGTAAAAATTATCTAAAACCTCTACCTAAAATACTTAATAGATATATAATTATACAAGTTAGCAACCAGGGATATTCAAACTTGCCCATGATTCAATTTTTTTAAATTCTTCTGTATATGATATAATGTGGAGCAAAGCGACCATCATCATTGTCACTTTCATTATCAAAAGCACTCTGCTGTCCATCGCTAAAGATGCAGGACTCGTAGGAAGGTGGGGCTGAAAAGAAATGTAAATTAACAATTAAGCTTCAGGAAGGATAGGGGATAGAAGGGAAGGATGAAAGGAGAGAAATAGTTCTAATCACAAGTAAATCTTCTCCTATACAAAAGTAACAAGTAAATTCCTGACGGCTACGGATATGTTCCTCTCGCAGAGCTCAGTAACACTGAATATAAAGGAGAGAGGGGGAGAGGGTGAGAGTGGAGAGAGGGGGAGGGAGGGAGGGAGGGAGGAGGGAGGGAGGGGGGGGAGGGAGGGAGAGGGGAGGGAGAGGGAGAGG